AGTAATAAGCCTCGTATATACCGTACTGCCTGAACTCGCTAACAATAGCTGCCGACTATACCTGCCGACTACGAGAATTAGGAAAAAGCAAATTAATTTAGGAGTTTATAGTAAGTACTTCGACATCTCCTTCTATAGCTAATAATACCTACCGACTATACCTACCGACTACGAAAATTAGAAAAACCAAATTACTTCAGATCTTAGGCTTATAGTAAATACTTCAATATCTCCTTCTCTAGTCTAGCTAGAACGCGTATCTAGTATTTAAACCGACTTTCGGTTACTATATACTGCTGCCTTACTCTCTAGGCCTTACGTATCTCTATTCTTCGCTAGGCCGCTTAGAAAGCCGGCTCCGTCCTTATTAATAATAGGGTCCTTAAACAAGTAGCTCTAAGGATAAAGCGAGCTGAAATTTCTGTCTCTAGTCTGTCTCGTTCGGTAATAGGCTCTTCTATAAGTATACTTAGTATCTTATCGATACTTCCCCTAGCTACGAATTCTTACGTACCCCGATTATTCGCTTAATCTATAGCTACCGTATATACTGCCCTTGCTATATCCTCTAATTCTATTATCTCCTTATCAAACTCCTACTACGACTCCTCTTCTTTATCCTCTCTCTCTATATCTAGTCGACTCTCCTAAAGAGAATTAGGACCCGTCTCCTCTAAATCTAGATAATCGAAAGGATTATAGTCTTAGCTAAGCGAGATATCTTAATCCTAGGTACCTATATCCTCGTCGCTATACTGAAAATCTGCTTGACTAAGCGGTATACCTAGTTACCTAAAAGGAAAATCTGAATTCTCGGAAGCTATCTCCTTGTCTTCTTCTTCTTAAGTATTAATATAATCGAGGAGAGCCTAGAGATATTCATCCTCTGTCGTTAGGGGTACCGTATTATCGTCCTAAGTATTCTCCTTATTAGCTAGAGGATAACTAGTTTAAACGCTAGGATTAGTATCTAGATCGTATTCCGAGCTCTTATTACCGCTCGAAATTACGATAGTCGCCTACTTCTTACCGTCTGAATCGTTTAAACCCCTATTATCCTAATCGGCGCTAGGAGGATCTTGATCGTTCCCGTCTGTCTAGCTACTAGTATCTATATTATCCTAATCGGCGCTAGGAGGATCTTAATCGTTCCCGTCTATCTAGCTACTAGTATCTGCATTATCCTAATCGGTACTAGGAGGATCTTGATTGTTACCGTCTGTCTAGCTACCGGTGTCGCTATTATCCTAATCGGTACTAGGAGGATCTTAATTGTTCCCGTCTATCTAGCTACCGGTATCGCTATTATCCTAATCGGTACTAGGAGGATCTTGATTGTTCCTATCTGTCTAGCTACCGGTATCGCTATTATCCTAATCGGTACTAGGAGGATCTTAATTGTTGGCGTCTATCTAGCTACTAGTACCGGTTTGAGTACCCGTTTAAGCGCTAGGGTTATCGGGATTATCTAAGCTCTCGTCTTCGCTTAAGGACGCGGGAGTCTTCTTTCTCTTCTTCGTAGTCGGCTTCTTTAGAGTTAGCTTCGATTTCGTCTTCTTCGTCTTTAATCGAGGCTTATATATCGTACTCGGGTTAACTAGGCTAGAGCTATAGGGAGCAACTACGTAATTGTCTAGCTAGACATTCTACTCCTTTAGTAGCCTACGAAGACATTCGAGATCTTTCGCTATTACTATAACTCGCTTATAGTAGATAGCGAGAAGATTAGCTAACGAAAAGACTTTCGTTACTATACTCTCGCACTGTTCCTAGAGGATGCCGAGTACGCTCGCTTGGATCCGTATAGGGAGGTAGTCTTCGGTAAAAAGGATAATAGTATCCCTAACGATACGTACGAACGCGAGCTTTAGGATATAGTTTATAACCTCCGTCTAGCATTTTTTGATCTCCTACAAAGCTCCCTCTAAAAGAAATGTTAGTATATGCCGACTATATATACCGACTACGTCTGCCGACTAGGTATACTTACTGCCTCTCTTTTTTTGATTTTTCTTTATACCTACGGATAGAAGCCCTTTCCTACCTATTACGCTAGGGAGTCTCTTTCCAGATGTTCGTAGTACCTTTCTAGCGATTGAAAGCTTACAGCGCACTACGAGTAACGGCGCTATAACGATAGCAGCAGTAGGCGGTATAGCAGGTAGAGTAGTAGGCGGAGTAGTAGGCAGAGTAGTAGGCAGAGCAGTAGGCGGAGGCTAGGAGGGGTTATAGCGGGTAGGGGGCGGAGCGGGAGGGAGGGGGTTAACAACCAATATTGATATCGCAAGTTAGGTTTTTTTGGAAGTAGGGAATACCTTTAAAGGCGGCGGAATTTAGGGTCTAGGGGCGCGACCAATTAGAAGCGAGGGATTCT